GAGAGAGAGAGAGAGAGAGAGAGAGAGAGAGAGAGAGAGAGAGAGAGAGAGAGAGAGAGAGAGAGAGAGAGAGAGATTTCAGGACTGGACCTGAATTCAACAGAACTGGACAATTATCATCATATAATACTGCTTTATAACTAAACCCACCCTTTGTGGACGTTTATTGAAAAACTGGGGTGTCTTCAATATGCAGATGGTACATATCTCTATTCTGGGACTATTGGGAGATGTAGTGAAAGTCACAACCTGGTGTCTAGAGTCTGAATAAGGGAAAACAGGCTCGGGTAGAGTGGTTGTTAATGCAGACACCAATTGATTTCAGGAATGTACCATCTCTGGCTCTTGACAAAGTTATACTCTTCAGAAAAATCAGACTTGCAATCTGGAGGTCCTCTTGGACTCATAGGTCCTGGAGGGCTTTTGTAGAGTTTCAGCTGGTGTACCAACTGCGCCCTTAGTTGAAACACAATGCATTGAAGATTGTTGGTCATACCTTTGTTCTTTCTCGACAACCATACTGTAATGCACTCCATAGGGGGCTGTCCTGGAAGATTAATCAAAAACTTCAAAGGTTCAGAACACAGTGGCATGAGTTCTCAGTGGTCACTGGTACTGCCATGGAGCTGCACAGTTACCAATAGATTTCTAAGTGCAGTTCAAAGTGCTGGTCACTACCTATGAAGCCCTGTATGACATAGATATATTAGGAATACCTTCCCCCAATAGTTTCTGCCCTTCATGAGGTGCCCCAATGACATTGTCCTCTGTAGCAATGTCTTTCTTCTAGAATGGCTGGCCCATGAAGCATAAAAGTCTTCCTCCTTAGGTCCTCCTGGAAGCAGATGGAAATGAGGTTCTTCCAGAGGGCATTTGGAGATTAATATACTCAGAGGCTCCATTTTCCATAATTCCATGATCTCATCCTTTTCCTTCCAGTTAATTAGTATTCTGATTTTGTGTTCCATGTAAGTATGTAAGTTGGTAAACTGCCTACAGCCTGGTTGGTTTCAGATGGTAGGCAGATTTTATTAAATAAACAGAATGGCTACGCCCTGCTTCATTTAAGACCCATTGATAACTCTTAATTCTATAGTGAATTGCAAATATCCTCATTTTAAAGGAACTGGATCACTCTAAAATATATTGACCTCTGCAGCAGTTTGATATTCTTTTGCTGATGATGTAACTTGACAATATTTCTTTCTCCCCCTTTTTTTTTTTAAAAAAAAAGCATTTTCATTTCTTAAGTCAGGTGTTTTTTTAAAATCCTTTCTGGATTTTATGTGAACTGTTTCTTACCTTTCTCTGTTTCTAGACCAGAAGGGGCTCTTCCACTCCAGCTGAAGGCAGCAGAAGGGCAATTTCTTACAGTACTTAGAAATGTTTCAATTCTTGGCCAATGCAGTGATGAAACAGCAGGAGGAAAATCCAGGCCTCTCAAATGAATGGGTTTCTCCCCTCCCTGCCCTGATGGATTTAATTAACTGGAAAGGCAGTGGGTGATTGTTGTCCCCTTCTTAATAGGCTACGACAAATTCCCCCTCTCTTCTTTGAACTCTATTAGTGTTTGCTGGCTAAATACAGTGCATCCCTTAGGTGAAGGAACAACATTGGTGGGAAAAAAGAACCTCAAGCATGTGCTTTCCCCTAATGGGAAAAATGCCATTTATGGATTTTTACTCCTTTAGGAGAAGAATGACCAGCAGCTGGATAGAAGCCATGAACTGCTTATTTGCAGATCACTCACCATCTCGCTGTTGCAACTGGGCAGCAAACTGTGGAGCATCTGTGGAGCAGCCTTTTGCTATTTTTTTTTATACAAATGTTAATCCAGTTCAAATTATTATTATTAATTATTATTATTATTATTATTATTATTATTATTATTATTATTATTTAAATTTATATACCGCCCTATCTCCCTTGCGGGACTCAGGGCGGTGAACAGGCGATACTAAAAACCACGATAATAAATAAATAGTTTGTTTTAAAATCGAATTAAATAACAGGCCTGTTCTAAAAACACACCCGTAAAAAACCCCCCACTGAAACATAATCAAACTACGCCAGGCCGGCCGCACGGAATAGATGGGCCNGATGTCTGCATTTTGATTGTAGGCCCATACAGAATACCATCAGAGGCAGGAAGAGTAGGCAGGCCAAGCTAAGCTAGAACTCTAGGTGAAGATGCTTGGGTGAAGCAAGCAAAACATGTCTGTATTTCAGTTTGTTTCTGTGTCTGAATCCTGTTGAAGTTGTGATTTTGCCTCAGAAACTTGGTAAATTTCAGCCTTGAATGACACCCCCCCCCCAAAAAAAAAACCCCTATGGCACAAGGCAGACATATTTTTAAAAATGCCCTTTCCATTCCAGGACCTTCAAAATGTATACATATGTTCATATAGTTCCCAAAGCATGGGACTTTCTTGCCTAGTATGGACTTGAAAAATCTTACAATGTAGGCCTCTCATTGTGCTGTGAGAGCTGCAGGTGGAAGCGCAGGCATGTATCCTGTTCATCCCAAAGAGGTATCTGAGTTGGCCTTGTCGCGTTTGAAGAAAAAGCATAAATGTGTTAGGGGGGGAACAATCTCAGTTCCAAAAGATTTTGAAAAGTTCTGCCCTCTGAATATCTGCTCATAACGTCTTCCTTTTGTCCTACAGGTTTTTAGCCAACACTACGTTCCATGGGCTCAGTGGCCACATCAAAGTAAAAGGTTCTTCCATCATTAGTTCAGAAAACAAATTCTTCATTTGGAATCTTCAGCATGACCCTGTTGGGAACCCAATGTGGACTCGCTTGGGGAGTTGGCAAGAAGGCAAGGTTGTCATGGATTATGGGATCTGGCCAGAGCAGTCTCAGAGGCACAAGAATCACAACCAGCATCCAACTAGGCTACATCTGAGGGTGGTGACACTCATTGAACATCCCTTTGTCTTCACCAGGACTGTGGATGATGAAGGATTGTGTCCTGCAGGACAACTCTGCCTGGATCCCTTGACCAATGATTCAGCTATGCTGGATGCTCTTTTTGAAAGTCTCCAAGGAGGCAACGACACAATGCCCACCAAATTTAAGCAGTGTTGCTATGGCTACTGCATAGACCTATTAGAAAGGTTGGCTGAAGATATGAACTTTGATTTTGACCTGTATATCGTCGGTGACGGGAAATATGGTGGTTTGAAAAATGGCCAGTGGACAGGATTGGTTGGTGATCTTCTGGCTGGGACAGCCCACATGGCTGTGACATCCTTCAGCATCAACACAGCCCGTAGCCAAGTGATTGATTTCACCAGCCCTTTTTTTTCCACCAGTTTGGGCATCCTGGTGAGGACCAAAGACACAGCTGCTCCTATAGGAGCATTTATGTGGCCGCTCCACTGGACCATGTGGCTGGGCATCTTTGTAGCTCTACACATCACTGCAATCTTCCTGACTCTGTATGAATGGAAGAGCCCCTTTGGAATGACTCCAAAGGGTAGAAACAGGGATAAGGTTTTCTCCTTTTCCTCTGCTTTGAATGTCTGTTATGCCATCTTGTTTGGGAGGACAGCTGCCATCAAACCTCCAAAGTGCTGGACGGGAAGATTTCTAATGAATCTCTGGGCCATATTTTGTTTATTTTGTCTCTCCACATACACTGCTAATCTGGCTGCTGTTATGGTGGGAGAGAAAATCTATGAAGAATTGTCTGGAATACATGACCCCAAGGTAAGGAAGGGCCTTTCATTTACATATTCAGGTCATTATGCGTCATTTTTGTACTGCAATACAGAAGTGGCAACTGGACGTGGTCTGGTAATATTAGCTACACCCTCTCTATTGAGACCTAGTTTAGTGTAGTGGTTAAGGTGTCAGGCTAGAAATAGATTGTGAGTTGTAGCAATAGCAATAGCACTTAGACTTATTTATCGCTTCACAGTGCTTCATATCCCTTTCTAAGCGGTTTACAGAATCAGCATATGGCCCCCAACAATCTGGGTCCTCATTTTACCAACCTTGGAAGCATGGAAGACTGAGCCAACCTTAAGCCAGTGAGAATCGAACTGCTCAACTGCTGGCAGCTGGCAGTCAGCAGAATTAGTCTACTTCATTCTAACCACTGCACCACCACGGCTCAAGTGAATTGTAGTCCCATCTTAAGCCCAAAGCCAGCTGGATGACTTTGGGCCAGGCATTCTCTCCCAGCCCTAGAATAAAAGGAGTAACATGCCACTTTCAATAAAACGTTGCTGAGAATTGAAACTGACTTGAAGGCACACACACACACACACACACACACAAAGAATCCCACCTGTTGGGGTACAAGAGAGGATATGGAGGTGATTTTTCTTTTATACATATATAATCATATCATTATTATTATTATTATTGTATAATAATTTAGATGTATTCTTATATACATAAGTAACTGTAGCAGCTACAAAAACCCCAATGTTTGCTGTGGGGGCAAACTGGAAGCAGTTCAGAATATGCAGCAGCAATTATATAACTATTCCAGAAGGATAATGATGCTATTAGTGATGCTGTTCTTAAAAGACACCATGGCTATAACGAACACAGTGGTAACCAGTTGTTAGTTAATATTTTATACTGACAAATGAGAGCACAAACTATTGCTGAAAGAGTTTTAAACAAAATGCTTTGGCTTCATTTATAAATAAGGAGGCAAAGCATGATTGAAGCAGAAGATTGAGGGAGTGATCACCTGGCAAAGAATTTCTAGGCAAAATCCTGCAAGCTGGAAGCTGAATGGACAGAATATATTGAGATGATATAGTTGTTTTATAGTGATATTCAGGGGAACTTTTGAGCTGTGGATCCTGAAGAAGTGGACAATGTCAACTGTGATCTGAACTCCATTGTGTCTGGATTGGTTCCATGCTTCTCCTACTAACACCCTGAAATCTAGCAGGCTGCTACTCTCCACCATTCAGAAAACCCTTAAAGACTTGTTGTTTCCAACAAGGTTGTGATGGAATGTGCATTTGTAGGGGGAGTAGGAGAGACTTTTGGCTACAAAGATCTTTCCAGAAAGAGGCCCAGATTAAGAAGACTATGCAGTTCTGGCTGGATGGGAGAGAGGGGAAGAAGTTCTAGGGAGCCATGCCCTACAATTTCTCAGGATATATCTATAGATAAGAAAGTTATAGCTTTAGTTGGGCAAGTTTCTGTCAATTTGTCAAGATTATGTCCTTTATTAGCAAATAAAGGATTGGACTTGATTGGATCCCACTGTCTTGTCTCTGGCCATGAGCCTGACAAAGCATTGAGATAGTATGAGGCTGTGGCCCAGAAAAGTTCCTTGTGGGTGTGTGGGGATGTGTTGTGGTTAAGGAATATGGAGGTTTTGTGTTGGTCTTGTATTTTTTCTACTGTTTTTTATTGTTTGTTAGCTGCCCATAGTTATGTTGCATAAGATAGGTGGCTATATACTTTTAAGAGAGAGAGAGAGAGAGAGAGAGAGAGAGAGAGAGAGAGAGAGAGAGAGAGAGAGAGAGAGAGAGAGAGAGAGAGAGAGAGAGAGAGAGAGAGAGAGAGAGAGAGAGAGAGAGAGAGAGAGAGAGAGAGAGAGAGAGAGAGATTCCAGAAGTCTTTAGAAGGGCATTAGTTTCATCTTAAGATTTCAGGACTGGACCTGAATTCAACAGAACTGGACAATTATCATCATATAATACTGCTTTATAACTAAACCCACCCTTTGTGGATGTTTATTGAAAAACTGGTGGGGCTTCAGTTGTAGAAGACATGGATTAACTGAACCTTGGTAATATGCTTGGATGGAAGTTGTATGGATGTTGTTTTGCTCCAAGTTCTTTCAGCAGCTTTCATTATTGTTGACCACAGTAGCCTTCTGGACCAGTTGCAAGGGTTGGGAGTTGAAGATATGATGTTACAATGGTTCCTATCTGAGTAGGTTGGACCAGAGAGCATGAGGGGAAGGGAGGAAGAGATCAGGCTCCAAACCATTTAGTTATGGAGTGTCTCAAAGTTCAACCCTTTTTTTTCAACATCTATATAAATGGAAAAGATCATCTGCTGGTGTGGGGTGTCTTCAATATGCAGATGGTACATATCTCTATTCTGGGACTATTGGGAGATGTAGTGAAAGTCACAACCTGGTGTCTAGAGACTGAATAAGGGAAAACAGGCTGGGTTGAGTGGTTGTTAATGCAGAGACCAATTGATTTCAGGAATGTACCATCTCTGGCTCTTGACAGGGTTGTACTCATCAGAAAAATCAGACTTGCAATCTGGTGGTCCTCTTGGACTCATAGGTCCTGGAGGGCTTTTGTAGAGTTTCAGCTGGTGTACCAACTGCGCCCTTAGTTGAAACACAATGAATTGAAGATTGTTGCTCATACCTTTGTTCTTTCTCGACGAGCATACTGTAATGCACTCCATAGGGGGCTGTCCTGGAAGATTAATCAAAAACTTCAAAGGTTCAGAACACAGTGGCATGAGTGCTCTGGTACTGCCATGGAACTGCGCAGTTACCAATAGATTTCTAAGTGCAGTTCAAAGTGCTGGTCACTACCTATGAAGCCCTGTATGACGTAGATATATTAGGAACACCTTCCCCCAATAGTTTCTGCCCTTCATGAGGTGCCCCGATGACATTGTCCTCTGTAGCAATGTCTCTCTTCTAGAATGGCTGGCCCATGAAGCATAAAAGTCTTCCTCCTTAGGTCCTCCTGGAAGCAGATGGAAATGAGGTTCTTCCAGAGGGCATTTGGAGATTAATATACTCAGAGGCACCATTTTCCATAATTCCATGATCTCATCTTTTTTCTTCCAGTTAATTAGTATTCTGATTTTGTGTTCCATTTTTACTATGTAAGTTCGGTAAACTGCCTACAGCCTGGTTGGTTTCAGGTGGTAGGCAGATTTTATTAAACAAACAGAACGGCTATGCCCTGCTTCATTCAAGACCCATTGATACGTAACTCTTAATTCTATAGTGGATTGCAAATATCCTCATTTTTAAGGAACTGGATCGCTCTAAAATATATTGACCTCTGCAGCAGTTTGATATTCTTTTGCTGATGATGTAACCTGACAATATTTCTTTCTCTCTTTTTTTTTTTAAAAAAAAAAGCATTTTCATTTCTTAAGTCAGGTGTTTTTTAAAATCCTTTCTGGATTTTATGTGAACTGTTTCTTACCTTTCTCTGTTTCTAGACCAGAAGGGGCTCTTCCACTCCAGCTGAAGGCAGCAGAAGGGCAATTTCTTACAGTACTTAGAAATGTTTCAATTCTTGGCCAATGCAGTGATGAAACAGCAGGAGGAAAATCCAGGCCTCTCAAATTAATGGGTTTCTCCCCTCCCTACCCTGATGGATTTAATTAACTGGAAAGGCAGTGGGTGATTGTTGTCCCCTTCTTAATAGGCTACGACAAATTCCCCCTCTCTTCTTTGAATTCTATTAGTGTTTGCTGGCTAAATACAGTGCATCCCTTAGGTGAAGGAACAACATTGGTGGGAAAAAAGAACCTCCAGCATGTGCTTTCCCCTAATGGGAAAATGCCATTTATGGATTTTTACTCCTTTAGGAGAAGAATGACCAGCAGCTGGATAGAAGCCATGAACTGCTTATTTGCAGATCACTCACCATCTCGCTGTTGCAACTGGGCAGCAAACTATGGAGCATCTGTGGAGTAGCCTTTTGCTATTTTTTTATATAAATGTTAATCCAATTCAGATTAATAAAGTAGAATTCAAACATTAACCTCATCATCATCAGGACAAGAAGCAACGGATGGAAACTAATTAAGGAGAGAAGCAACCTAGAACTAAGGAGAAACTTCCTGACAGTTAGAACAATTAACCAGTGGAACAACCTGCCTCCAGAAGTGGTGAATGCTGCAACACTGGAAATTTTTAAGAAGAGACTGGACAGCCATTTGTCTGAAATGGTATAGGGTTTCCTGCCTGAGCAGGGGGTTGGACTAGATGACCTCCAAGGTCCCTTCCAACTTTATTATTATTATTATTATTATTACTATTATTATTATTATTATTATTATTATTATTATCTGTTAAATATTGCTCATTCATCGCATTCATAAATAAACTAGAAAAATGCTGAAAAGGGTAACTTGCATGCTAATATGACCTGGTCCTACTGGCTGCATTTCTTAGAACAGGGGTCTTCAAACTTGGCCCTTTTATGACTTGTGGACTTCAACTCCCAGAATTCCTCACCCAGAATGCCTGGCTGAGGAATTCTGGGAGTTGAAGTCCACAAGTCATAAAAGGGCCAAGTTTGAAGACCCCAGTCTTAGAATCACCTCCAAAAATATGATGTTGCCCCCCCTCAAAAAATAACTAATCTCTAGTGTAGGACATGCTTATGTAGAGTTACCATATCTGGCTGAAATCATAGACAAAAAAATGGGTGCATCACGCAGACACAAAGCCCTCTAGTTCCTTCCTATCATCTAATGGTAGTTTAGATTTTTAGAGCCAAGTTTTGCAGCTCTATTCTTCACTAGCATCTTACCTCCAGAGACATTGGGTGTCAACTCCAGCCTGCATGGAGTCATGCTGCTTGAGAAGAACAGAGCACCAGAACAGAGGGTTGAACAAGCAAAAGTTCATTGTATGTAAGAATTCATAAATTTGTTTCTATGTTGGATTTCCCATTCCAGAATTACAAGTATTTCATTTCCTTTCTCCATTCTATCTTTACTTGTATATTTGAGGACTG